GGAATACATGTAAATCCTGTCCCTCAGGATCCCCTCCAACAACTTGCCCACCACCGATGTCAGGCTCACCAGTCTATAGTTCCCTGGCTTTTCCTTACCACCTTTCTTAAATAATGACACCATGTTAACTAACATCTAGTTTTCCGGCACCTCATCTGTGGCTATTGATGATACAAATGTCTCAGCAAGAGAGCCAGCAATCACTTCCCTCACTTCCCACAGAATTCTAGGGTACACCTGATCAGGTCCCGGGGATTTATCCACCTTCATATGTTTTAAGATCTCCAGCATGACCTGCTGTGTGGTATGGATATTTTTCACAGATATCGCTATTTATTTCTCTAAGTTCTCTAGTTTCTATATCCTTCTCCACAGTAAACACTAATACAAAATACTTTTTTAATATCTCCCACATCTTCTGTGGTTCTACACATTTTTAAGGGGCCCCATTTTCTCCATAGTTACTCTTTTGTCCTTAATGTATTTGTAACATCCCTTTGGATTCTCCTTAACCCTATTTGCCGAAAATATTTCCTGTCCCCTTTTAGCCTTCCTGATTTCCCTCTGAAGCACACTTCTACTGCCTTATACTGTTTTAGGCATTCACTCGATCCCTTACATATGCTTCCTTCTTTTTCTTGACCAAAACCTCAATTTCCCTAGTCATTCAGCATTCCCTATACTTACCAGCCTTGCCCTTCATCCAAACAGGAAGATAATGTCTCTGGACTCTTGTTATCTCATTTTTCAAGGCTTCCCATTTTCCAGCCATCAATTTACCTGCGAATATTCGCCCCCAAATTTTGAAAGTTCTTGCGTAATACCGTCAAACTAGGCCTTCCTCCAGTTTAGAACTTTAACTTTTGGATCTGGTCTATCCTTTTTCCATCCCTGCTTTATGAATAAAAAAAATCCATAGGCCACTTCTTTACCCAGTTTCCTAGCCTGTCCAGATCCTTTTGCAGTTTCCTCAATACTACCTGTCCCTCCACCTATCTTTGTGTCATCTGCAAACTTAGCAACAATGCCTGCAACGCATTCGTCCAGATCGTCAATCTATTATGGAATAGTTATGGTCCCATCGTAGCCTCCTGGGGAACTCCACTTGTCAGTAGCTGCCATCGTGAAAAAGACCACTTTATCCCCACTCTCTGTCTTCTGCCAGTCAGCCAGTCCTCTATCCATGCCAGCACCTTGCCCCTAACACCATGGGTTCTTATCTTATTTAGCAGCCTCCTGTGTGGCACCTTGTCAAAGGTCATCGGGAAACCCAAATAGATCACGTCCACTGGCTCTCCTTTGTCTAACTTGCTCATTATCTCCTCAAATAATTCTGACAGATTTCTCAGGCATGACCTCCCCTTGACAACATCATACTGACTCAGCATTATTTTGCCTTACACTCCCACGTACTCGCAGTCATATCCTTAATAGTCTCTCCAAATTTTACCGATGACTGAGGTCAGACTAACTATTGTTTCCTGTCTTCTGCCTCCCTCCCTTCTTAAACAGGGGTGTTACATTAGCCATTTTCCAGTCCTCTGGGACCCTCCCTGACTCCAGTGATTCCTGAAAGGTCATGACCAATGCCTGCACAATCTCCTCAGCTATCTCCTTCAGAACTCTGAGGTGTAGTCCATCTGGTCCAGGTGATGTTTCCACTTACAGACCTTTTAGCTTCCTCAGTTTCTTCTCCTTAGTGATGGTCACTACCCTCACCTCTGCTCCCTGATTTTCTTGGTGTTCTGGTAGGCTACTAGTGTCTTCTACTGTGAAGAACTCAAGAATGTTGGTGTATGACTCTGTGCTGGTAAGAGAACAGGGATGTCTAGACTAATGTTGTGCAATACATTAACCACAAGCTACATCTGGATTCCAGATGTACATAATTGCATTTCTGGTTAGTAAATGTGTGCAATTCTGGTCTCCTTCTATAAGAAAGATGTTGTGAAATGTGAAAGGGTTCAGAAAAATTTACAAGGAAGTTGCCAGGTTGGAGGGTTCAAGCTATAGGGAGAGGCAGAATAGACTGGGGCAATTTTCCCTGGAGCATCGGAGGCTGAGGGGTGATCTTATAGAGGTTTATAAAATCATGAGGGGCATGGATAGTGTAAATAGCCAAGGTCTTTTCCCTGGGGTGGGGAAGTCCAAAACTAGAGGTCATAGGTTTAAAGTGAGAGGGGAAAGATATAAAAGGGATCCAAGGGGCAACTTTTTCACACAGAGGGTGGTGCATGTATGGAATGAGCTGCCAGAGGAAATGGTGGAGGCTGTTACAATTACAACATTTAAAAGGCATCAGGGGGTAGGTATATGAATAGGAAAGGTTTAGAGGGATGTGGGCCAAATGCTGGGAAATGGGACTTGATGTAATTAGGATATCTGGTCAGCATGGACGATTTGGACCGAATGCTCTGTTTCCATGCTCTGTATCTCTATGACTCTATAACTGTAATAATAAACGGCAACATTGAGCATGTGAACTTAATGCTCATACACATATGGTGTTTGCATATGTATTTTAATCTTACTTTGTAAGCTTGTTGGTAAATTAGTTACAGATAGTTCTGCTATAACATTTGTTTCATTAATATGAATTGGCTGTAACACGATTGAGGAGTAGTGAATGCTGTTTGGATAACACAAACTTTCTGCTGTGCAAGTATAGTGATTTTCAATACTGATTTCCCTATAACAAGATTTTCTATATTGCAGTTTTCTACAGAACTGAACTATCGCGTTATAGGAGACCTACCTGTACCACTGAGGCTGGACTGTCAATTTAGTCCCACTATTGCGTGGGTCACAACTTAAAATAGAAATACTATTTCCAGTTGCCAAGATGACCAGTTAAATGCATAATTTATATCAGGTTTTAAATAACAAGATCTATCAACCTTAATATACACAATTATTATTTATTGGCTAATTTATTAACACCCATAGTCATTAATATTGAAGTATAAATGCTTATCCCTCTAAGTCTCCCCAAAACACACATACATACTCCAGGAAAAGAGAACAAGATGCCTTTGCAGAGACTGGCTTTTTGGACAATTGATCATCCTTGAAGGCAAAATGGTAAAGCACAGAATGTTCTGATGTCTGTTGGTCTGATGCTGTGACATGTGTTGAGTCACTCATTGCTCAAAGTTGTCTCTGAAGTCTTACAGATCCACCGTACTCAAGAAATGTAATCTTGTGATGTTTCTTCAATCACACTTTCAAAAGAACAAATTGGTTTCATCCTGAACTGAACAGGAAGGGTTTCTTCTCAGAATGCAAGATCAGCTGAGCAGGCTTTCTTAGCAGGCTTTCCTCCAATCTAACTTGTTCTTAGCAGGCTTCCCTCCAATTGTAACAGATGAAACAAGATCTCTTCAAGCCAGTCTTTATTTAAAATGACCCCAGCAGGATTTATAGCAAAGCAAGCAGCTATCAACAAACATGTCATTCATAGAAAGCCTTCCTAAAAAAAACTGCATATCAGCAGTGAATGTTCAGTGATCTCTTTTAAAGAAACCACTCCAGTTATGCCTATAAAACTTGAAATAACCTTTTCATAACCTTTCAAACCTTAAGTCCCATGAGTAATATTACATATAAAGTGTCTTCATAACAAGTAGTAAGATGTAAAACATAGTGGGTGAGTATTCTAAGGGCATCAGGAGTATTTCACAATTATTGGTTACTGATTGGTGGTAGATATAGCTTACATAAATGCACATGGAGAGTGAAGAAGGTGACCTCAAGAGTACAATGGGATCTCGAACAGATGGGCCAATGGGTCAAGGAGTGGCAGATGGAGTTTAATTTAGATAAATGTGATGTGCTGCATTTTGGAAAGGCAAATCAGGGCAGGACTTATACACTTAATGGTAAGGTCCTGGGGAGTGTTGCTGAACAGAGGCCTTGGAGTGCAGGCTCGGAGTTCCTTGAAAGTGGAGTGGCAGGTAGATAGGATAGTGAAGAAGGCGTTTGGTATGCTTGCCTTTATTGATCAATGTATTGAGTGTAGGAGTTGGGAGGTCATGTTGCAGCTGTACAGGACATTGGTTAGGCCACCTTTAGAATACTGTGTGCAGTTCTGGTCGTCCTGCTGTAGGAAGGATGTTGTGAAATGTGAAAGGATTCAGAAAATATTTACAAGATGTTGCCAGGATTGGAGGGTTTGAGCCAAAGGAAGAGACTGAATAGACTGGGGCTATTTTCCCTGGACCGTCAGAAACTGAAAGGTGACCTTTATAAAGGTTTATAAAATCATAAGGGGCATGGATAGTGTAAATAGACATGGTCTTTTCCCCAGGGTGGGGGAATCCAAAACTAGAGGGCATGGGATTAAGGTGAGAGGGGAAAGATTTAAAAGAAACCTGAGGGGAAACCTTTTTCTCGCAGAGGATGGCGTGTGTATGAAATGAGCTACCAGAGGAAGTGGTGGAGGCTGGTAAAAATACAACATTTAAAAGGCGTCTGGATGGGTACATGAATAGGATAGGTTTAGAGTGATGTGGGCCAAATGGGACTAGATATTTTAGAATATCTGGTCGGCATGGGCAAGTTGGACCGAAGGGTCTGCTTCCGTGCTGTATATCTCTCTGACTCTATGACTCCATCTTTACCTGCTTCCTGTACAAAGTGCTCTCCACTAAAACCTATGCATGGGCTAAAATGGTCTGTCTGCAGTCACACTGTGTGCATGGTCAGCACTTTCTGTTGGACATCACCGGTCTGGAGCACATCATTAGGCCCTGATGTTAGGGAGTCACTGCTGGTGCAAGTGTGAAATCCAGTTGCACATTGAATGAGGTGCTAACTGGTCGGAAATCTGATTATTATGTATCATTACTGGGTAAAATGGGTAAAATTGATTGGAAAATCTACTGAGAGAGAAAAAAATAAAATAAAAACTCTGTGCCTTAAGTGTAGTTTAAATATCGTTCAGATTCGTCATCTGCTGCTGTTTGTTGAATCTTTCCTTCTCTTTTCTATTGAATGTTAAGATTAAAGATATTGAAGATGAGCGAGTGGAGGAAATACTATATCGTATTAGTGACGTGGATGAGTACAGCAAGAGCAAGTCCATCAGGCCCAAGGCTTTATTTGATAACTGTTACCGGGTCATGAAACAACTCTTCCACTGTAAGTAGTGTCAGAAATATCCTCAATGTAAAATTTAAATCTGTAAAAATTGCAATTCAAAGGACAGAAAACAGAGACTAAATGTCTAGAATTGAGAAACACAGAGGTTGTCATTAGACCACACTTGGAATTCAGTCAGAGATAGTGAGAATTGCCGATACTGGAGCCAGAAATAACACAGTATGGAGCTGGATGAACACAGCAGGCCAGGCAGCATCAGAGGAGCAGGAAAGTTGACGTTTCGGGTCGGGACCCTTCTTCAGCATTTCTGCTTTCCCTGTTAATAAAATGACACTAGGGAAGAATTCACAAGGATGAATGCAGGACTGAGAGATAATACCTACCAGAAAGGTTGAACAGGCCAGCGCTGCCTTCTCAGTAAATAAAAAAGCTGAAGGGTTGCTTGACAGAGGTATTTATTATAAGAAAGGGAGTTTAATAGGATAAACAGAGAAGATGGGTGGCACGGTGGCCCAGCGGTTGGCACTGCTGCCTCACAGCGCCAGGGACCCGGGTTCAATTCCAGCCTCGAACGACTGTGTGGAGTTTGCACATTCTCCCTGTGTCTGTGTGGTTTTCCTCTGGGTGCTCTGGTTTCCTCCCAGAGTTCAAAGTTATGTGGCTTAGCCATGCTAAATTGCCCATAATGTCCAGGGATGTGCAGGTTAGGTGGATTGGGCATGGGAAATGTATGGATAGGGTAGGGGGATGAGTGTGGGTGGGATTCTCTTCAGAGGGTCTGTGTGGACTTCTTGGGCTGAATGGCCTGTTTTCACACTGTAGGGATTCTATGGAAAATGTTTTCCTGTGTGGGATGGACCAGCACTAGGAGGGACACATATATATGGCAGTTGGTAATTAATCTAATAGAAAAATCTGCTTTACCCAGAAAGAATGTGGAACTTGCCAACTCATTGAGTAATTACAGCAAATTCTATAAACACCTTTAACTGATCTGAGTACACAAGAGAGTGAAGAACAGGATATGCAAATCAGATGAGGTAAACTGCTGGGCAGGTGTAGGGATTGATGGGAGAGGGCTTGTTTACAGAATAAATATCAGCATGGAGCCATTCGGCCAAATGGCCTGTTTCAGGTTGTAAGTTCCGCGTGATAGTGAGGGTCCAAAGTAAGATGGCTCCATGTCAGATTCATTTCCGACATAGGGTCATTCACGAGGGCGTAGCTCTTGGAGCATTGTTGGTGCTGTTTCAGACTTACGGAAATATTATTGTGCAGAAGGAAGCATTCCACCCATTATGTGTACCAGCAGAGTTACAAAGATGATAGATGCGTAGCAAATTTCCGAAGCCAAATACTCAGAAGTTCAAAGCATGGCGGGTGTGGTGAGTCCTGTGGTATGGTGCATCTTGGGAAATACAAGTCATGAATGGCTGATGGGTATGAGGCTGCTCAACTGTGGGGAGCATCGCAGTCAAGCCTATGCCATCCTTTATTGAAGTTTATATGCCACACTCACAAGAACTGGGATTTTTTTTTTACATTTTAGTACAAATAACCCTGTTGGGTCCATTAACCCCCTGCCCAAATTCCCAGAAGTCTGCAGGTGCTTTTGATATGCCTGAAGCCCCCATAAGGCGTGATCAGCAGGCGATATTCCATAAGAAACGAACACAGAAATTGCTGGGAAAACTGAGTTCCGAGGAAGAGTGATTGGACCTGAAACATTCATTCTGCTTTCTCTCCATAGATGCTGCCAGATCTGCTGTGTTTTGCCAACAATTTCTGTTTTCTGTTTCTGATTTCCAGCACCCGCAGTTGTTTGGATTTTTTAAAATGTCCTATAGGATCCAGGAGTGGGAATGTTAGCCAGATTTTCATTCTCCCTCCACCACCCCCAATGCAACTGCAGGACATTGAGACCAAACTGGGACCAGAAACCTGTAGTTTAATGCATTGTTGAAAATCACCATTGCATTTACAAAGCAATTTTTATGATCCTGGGGTGAGATGTGCTTTACTTTTGAAATATGGTCTCCATTTTAATGTACAAACCAAAGCAGCCAACTGTGCACAGGAACCTCCCACAAACAGCCCTACGATAATGACCTGATCATTGCTGTTTTAGCATTGTTGGATGTGGGATAAATAACCAGGATACCAGTCATGCTTACCTGATCTTCTTCCAAATAGCCACCATGAGATCTTTTGCATCCTCAGGCATTCTCATCTGAAAATTGACACCCTCTAACAGTGCAGCGTTTCCTCAGCACTCCACTGGTATGTCAGTCCAGTTTGCAGTGTTTGAGTGTCTGGAGATTCTCCAAGGTGGAAGTGCTAGCAAATAAACCACTGCTGCCCCTGAGTAAACACAGAGAAGGGGCAGTCTGCAGCTGTATTGTGGACCCAAGGGTTTTTTTTGCTGCATAATAGATTTTTGAGAGCACTGGGACCTTGATACTGTGTGTGTGTTTTGAGTTGAGTTCTTGCTGATCAGGTTGTCTTCGCTGTGGTCTCTTGTTACAGGTAACTGGAGAACTTGATCGCCAGTCTACTCATGGTGAATGATTTCATCATCATCGCCTGTCGCTAACAACAACATCTACTCTCCACATGCATGCGTCTCCCTCCTTGCGACTGGAAGCATCTGGAACAGTATCGCCCACTCTCACCCAGCTTCTGTGCATTGAGATGTAGAATGCACTTGCCACTGGCCGGAGTATTAGACAGGACCTCTTTGAACTGTACATGCAGACAATGGCCACTGGCTTGCTATTTATTCACTTCTCTCTGACATGACCGTGGGTGTTGTAATTGACTTCAGTGAAGCCTTTTTTCCAGTTTTGCCCCCACCCCATTCTGCGTACTCCCATTCTTGCGACCATTTACTGGCTTTCCATTTGACTGAGAGTTCAATCTGGACAAGGACCATGCTAATTTCTTTCCATAACCCAGGATCATTGAACTGGAAAGCTTAGGTTCTGCCCCCAACCCCATCATGCCCAAACTCAGCAAAATATCTGTTATGAACCAATACAAAAAAAAATTCTGGCTGCGTATTGTGGCTGTGCAATGTAAAGATTCCAGTGTAAGGAAGAAAGCAACGAGGATGTGAAGTGTGCCTGTTTCCAAGAGGGAATAACATTGAAAACTTGGATCAGGCAAGTGCAAGTCAACCATGTATGTGCCAGAAGCAGCTGTTTATTAAAAAAGGACCCCCCTGCCTGACCATTTATTGGGAAACAAGCTACAACATGGAGGAAAGGTTCAATCACTTGACATAACTATTTCCAAGGACTAGGTACAAAAACACATCAGCCAATGCATTGAAGTTTTTTTTATTATTCATTCTTCAGAGCTGATCTCTATTACGTCTCCACCCCTCCCAACTGCCTCCAACAAGTTTAAGCTCACAACCAGGGAATTCCATGGAAATAGTTTAATCTTTTGCTGATAAGACATCAAATTTGTGTCACTCCTTCCTCATTACCACTTCTACCATAATGGTTTTGCCTTGGGCATCAGAGAACAGGAAATAATGTGTGCATGTCTAACTGTCCTAAAAATGTTCATTAATTATTATTCTTCCTACTTGTATAGGGTGATCAGGCAACACACTGAATAATAAATGTTTGAACACTTTTAGTCTATTCCATTCAGTATTGAACTTTGGTGCTGTGACTTCGATCTGAGGTGCAGATCTAGTGGAAATAACTATGACTAGATACTTTCTCAAGTAAACAAATGTCCATGGAGTCCTTAGTAAGGCACTCTCTAATAGTGTACTCTGCTGACACCTGTGAAACTCCTGGTCAGACATTTACTCGTGGGATCTGTCGCTGAATCTGTCCCATAGGGTTTCTGGATGGTCACTGGTCCCTAGGGTTATGTATGACCATACAAAACAAGAGGAAGTGTAGATCATTTGGCCCCTTGAGCCTTACTTTTTCAGTAAGAACATGGCTGATCCAGTTGTGACCTTGACTCCACTTTCCTGCCTCGCCCCATAAACCTTGACTATCTAAAATCTGTAACCTAACCTTGAATATATTCAATGACAAAAGCCCATACTGCTCACTGGGGTAGGAACTTTCAAAGACCGGAAATTCTTTCTGAGGGAATAAATTCCTTTTCATCTTGTCTTAAATGGGAGACATGGTGGCTCAGTAATTAGCACTGCTGCCTCACAGTGCCAGGGACCTGGGTTTGATTCCACCCTCGGGCGATTGTCTGTGTGGAGTTTGCACATTCTCCCCGTGTCTGTGTGGGTTTCTTCTGGGTGTTCCGGTTTCCTCCCATGGACCAAAGATGTGCAGGCTAGGTGGATCAGCCGTGCTAAATTGCCCGTAGTGTTCAGGGATGTGTAGATTAGGTGGGTTTACAGGGAAATGCGTCTGGGTGGGATACTCTGTGGGTCGGTACGGACTTGTAGGGATTCTATGATTTATTTTGAAACTGTGCCCTCTAGTTCTGATTCTGCAAGAGATTCCCCATCTACCCTGTCAATACCCCTCAGAATCTCCACCCATTCTCCTCGGCTCCCACTTGTTCAACCCTTTTTTAGAAACCAACCCCTTCATCCCATGAATCAACCCAATAAACCTTCTCTGAACCGCTTCCAATCAGTGTGTGTATATCAACTGTAGACAGACCTCCAGGTGTAGTATCAGCAAAGCCTGGTACAGTTGTAGTATGAATTCCTTGCTTTTTTATGCCATCCACCGTGAATAGAGGTCAACATTCCATTTGTCTTCCATGTACGTCCTGAATGGACATGTTAACATTTTGAGATTCATTTACTAGGACACCCAAATCCCTCTGAACTGCAGTTTTCTGCAGTGTCTCTAGTTCAGTAGTATTTTGCTTTTCTAATTCTTCTGCCAAAGTGGACAACCTCACATTTTCTGAGTTATACACGCACAAGGAAGGAAATCACTTTGTGTGCCTGTTCCCTGGTCAAATATGGTTAGTGCAAACAATTCCTATAAGACACAACAGAGTGACTGGTGTTAGCATAATTTTGTGCAATATCTCACTCAGTACAGTCCATGAACCAGAACCCCAACAACAAGCTAATACACTGTTGCTAGCTTGTAAAATTTGGAAGATCATGGTCACCTGCCACCACACACTGTGGCATTTAGACAATGATGATAGATTTGTCTTCATAGCTCTGAAAAATGGTAGCCCTCAGGCCCCTGATTCGACAGTCAATCATTTGGTGTCATATTTGAGTTGACATTATGGATGAGGAGAGATTTTGGGGCTGAGTTTTACACCGAAGAATTTTTGGAATGTAGAATATTTCGCCAAACTATGGTGATGCAGATACCACTGGATTTTTAAAGAGAAAATTGCACAAATAATTGAAGCTTTGGAAGATAAGGAACTATGGGGAGAGAAATGGGATAGCAGGATGCTCTAGTAAAGAGTTAGCCTAGTGGCATGAGCCAAATAGCCTCCTCCCATGTTGCGAGAGGATTCTCCATGGAGGGAGATGTTGAAGTGAAGGCACCCAGTGGTGGAATTGGTAAAAGTTGTTTTCCAGAAACTTATGGAGTGAGTCCAGAATTATAAATACTGGCGAGTTTATGCAGCCCTTTTTAGCTGAGTTGACATCAGTCTATCCCTGCCTCACCCCCACACTGCCACGTCACAAAGCCTAGGATACAGTACTGACAAAGACTGTAGACTAGTCATTCAAACGACAAAACGCCGGCAACATAATTGTTCTTTAATTGTCGGTGCAGTATCTTCCAATTTTCAAAGTTATTGAAACCAAATGATTCTGCATGATGAATCCCTGATGTGCAGATTAATGTCTCTCAGCAGAAACTCCAGATTCAGGGCTTGACACAATCACTTTGAACATGCAGGTCTGAGCAACGAAACCTGCTCTTTAACCCTTTGGTGGCTCGAGCATTGTCTGCTGAAGTTGAGGGTTCAGGTTCGGACACATCTAACGCAGCAACAAAAGTAATAGTTTGTAATGTTGCCACAGGCTGAGAAGCAGTATCATCCAACTAATGGTACAAGCCATAGACAGAGATATGAGGATCAGTGGTTAAAAGCTTGGTGAAAGAGAGACGGTTTAAGAAGTGACTTAACAGAAGGAAGGGAAGCAGTGAGGGGATTCGAGAGTATAGGAGTGAGACAACGTGGCCATCATGGCGGAGTCACAAGTGGCAAGAGTTCCATGAAAGCTGATATCTCGGATGGTCGTAGAGTTGGTGGAGGCTACAGAGAAAAGAACTGATGATTCTACGAGGGATTGAATGTGATGAGAAGAGTTTTAAAAATGCTGGTTAGTGAGCTGGAACCAAGGAAAATCCATTCTTCAGGAACAAACTAAACTAATGAGTATTGGTTGCTAACGGGCCATGCCCATACTCAATATCAATCATGTCATGGAGACTTGGAGGATCATTAGAAGCAGGAACTTGAACTGACTCTTCACATGTTCGATTCCTGTACTGGCTGAAATCACCATGGAGACCATGTCTTTTCAACCCCGCCCTTGCCTGAGTGTGGTGACCTGCACGTTAAACAAGTTGACTCTTTAGTCCTCTGGGACTTCAGCCAGTTTCAATTTCATTCCCCTCTCTTCACCCAAAGGGGAAAGAGACTGATTCTTTACCCTCAAGCGCATGCCCAGCAGGTTCAGATCTGGGTGACTAAGAGCTGTGTGGTTCAGTGTAAAGTGTTCTTTTGTTGCCTGCCTAATGATTCACATGATGTGTTCTCCATTGTTTTGCTCTCCTGTGCTGAAATTATGGCTTATTGCTAGGATCAGCCTGTGCCATCCTATGGGTTTTTGAGAGAGTCTGTTGGGAAGATGCAAATTCACTCTTTGGTTTTTGCCCTTCCTTTCCTTTCTGTTTGACAAATCCATCTCCTGTATAGGTTGTTCACGCTGAGAATGGGGAGTGCCACTTCACCAACACTTCCCCCCTCCTTCCTTTCTGCGGCCAGTAACCACTTCCAAGCCAACCAGTTTCCCATGTATCTCCCCGGGACAAAAACAGAAATTGCAGGCGAAACACAGCCGGTCTGGCAGAGTTAATATTTTGTCCAGTGACTCTTCATCAGCATGGTCTCTCCTTCCTTTGCCTGCTTCAGTTCCATGAGACCAAGTGGTCACTATTCATGTGTGAGCTGACCAACTATTCAACTGTGGAGGGACTCATAGTTGAGCCCAATCATGTTCTTGTCAACAACACCACCCAAAAAGAAAATCATCAGATGACATTGGGCTACGAGAAATCTGCCCAGTTTTCCTTCATGAGCTGAGGGTGTCAGGGCAATTATCCTGGAGCACATTGTCTGTACAGCCTGAGTGTTGGAACTGGGTCAGTTATGGCCAGTATTAGTCACAGATGCAAAACTGCCTTTGAAATTAGGACCTCATTTTTCCAGTTCCAACGCTGCAACACAAACAAACCTTCTACATCTGTCTGCAGTAACACCAGCCAAGAGCAGAAAAATGTTAACTGCATATCTGGAAACATTCCTCGTTTGATTTGTTAATTTGAAACAACGCCAGTAAATGGGAGGTGGTGTGTTTGTTGGAATTCTGTGCCTGAATCGAATTTATTATTAAATGATTTGACTGAATTATAAAACAGAATGAGGGTTGGGTGTGTCTGGAGCAGTGGGTTCAGTATGCTGCCTCAATTCAAATCTAGCCCAGATTGTCTGTTGCTTTCCTTTTCTCTCTCCACTGCTCATCTGTTCTTGTGGTTTCACTTAGTTTATTTTGCAGTCTTCACTCCCTCTTTCACTGTCCCTTTCCACCCAATATCAATGTGAGATAAACTGTTCAACTGGGTTGAGTTCAACTGAATGAAACCCAGCAGAAATGTAACCCTTTCGTATAACTGGTGGGTATACTTTTCAAAGAGTGGTGCAAACACAGGATTATATTGTTTAGATCAACCTCTTTGTAGCAGAAATCAAGTGCTTTTCTCTATAACGTCTTTCATATAATATCAGGATGCCTTCCTGCCAAATGCTGTTTAAGTCCTGTCATGGTTCTAATGTAGAAAACATAGCAGCTCATTTGTGCATGGTAAGATCCCACAAATAGCCATGTGATCAAGACCAGACAATCTGTTTCAGTCTTATATTGGTCTATTGTCCAGAACACCTCTAGTCTTTTTCAAAGCAGTTTCCAGGGATCATCCACATCACCAAAGAGGGTGGACAGGGCCTCTGTTACATGTCTTATCTGAAAGATGGCACCTCTGATAGTGCAGCACTCCTCCAGGATGTGTCAGCTATGATTCTGTACTGAAGTCTCTGGAGTGGGTCTTGAACCCGTATACTCTGGGTCAGAAATCTGGCTTGCCTGATGGCACATTTCACCCAGGAGTTCTCTCCCTCATCCTTTCCTCTTGTTCTTGTTTGCTGTGGTTCCAAGTCACCAGTGCAAGTCCTACACAAGTTCCCCTCAACACTTCCTCCCTCACGTTTTCACTCTTTCCCTCTTTGTGAGGGAAGATGGTCTAGTCCTGAGAACTCTGACCAAATTAAAAAAAAACACTTTTTAAGGGGGATTGTCAACACCTAAGCTGAGCCCTGAGAATGGTAGTTCTATAAAGGAAGAAACATCTACTCAAACAGAGGAAACC